AAGTTGTCATCAGATAATATGATCTTTGCATGATTAAATACGAAATTATATCTGTTTTTTAATGTTGCTTAAAGTAATTTCTCAGCTTTATAATTGGTGCGTGCAGTAGGGTGAAGTGAAAATAGCACAGTGCCTGGCACAAATACTTTTGAATAAGTGAATGAATGAATATTGTATTGGAACTTAAGAGGCAGGAGATCAAGTTCAATGACTAATATAAGCTGCGAGACACTGAGTAAGTCCTTGCTTCTGTCCAGACCTCATTTTCCTCATCTGAAAGACAAAAGAGTTGGAGAAAATTATCTCTGTTGCGTTCAGCTCTAAAATTCTGAGATTTAGTTGCTACGTGAGCACTATGCTCCCTCTGACTATACCTTGTTCCTCCCTAACACAGGGCACTCAGCGTGTTGTATTGTACCTAGGTTTTTGCTCCCTGCTTCGGTATGTCCCAGCTTCAGTGTGGGAGGCAGCAAGAATAGAGGTTTGCAGCCCAGGCTTTGGAGACAGCTCGCCTCGACATAATGTCAGATCCTTCACTTCCTTGTGGTGTGACCTTAAGCAAGTTACTCAACCTTCCTGGGTGTCAGTTTTCTCATCTGTTCAACGGGGTTCATGATGATATTAGTCTTTGCCTTAAACGGTTTTTAGAATAATGGACTAGGTCAATCCTCATGAAGCATGTGGCATGCTCAATCAGTGTTAACTCTCAGTCCTAGGTTTTATCTTTCAGTCTCCAGCACTTAGCCCAATGTCTGGTGAATACTAAGCAGTAAATGAATATGAATGAATCATTTAAAAATATGCTTGGAGAGTGTGTGCCTTATGCAAAGTGTGTGATTTCTGATACGAAAGAGTTGATCAGATAATCAGGACTCAAGAATTCCTGGCAATCCTGAAAACTCATGAGTTTGGGAGCCATGTTGGAAGCCAAGAGATTTTCATCTGACAGCTTGTCACGTTACTGTTTGGAATGAGTTAGTATATAATGAAAAGGCTTGAAATTCTGACTCCTGGCTGTTCCACCTGTGTTCGTTATCTTTATCAGGCTCATCTTGAGAAGAGTCTAAGTGCAGCAAGGGAAAGAGCATGTCCTCATTAGGACAGAACTGTAGGGGCATCTCTTTCCTGAATGGAATGCTGTATTTCTTCTCCTTCTTGACCCATTTCTCCCAGTTCATTTGGCTACAAGCTGCTCCTGTTTATTCAGATCACTGGTGTCAACTTCTCATCTAAATATGGATGGTCATGAACGTGTGCAGTTTGGGGGCGTTTAAAAAGTCTCTTAGGGATGCCTCGGTGGCTCAGTGGGTTAAGTGTCCAACTCTGGATCTTGGCTCAGGTCTTGATCTCATGGTTGTGAGCTCGAGCCCTGCATTGGGCTCCGTGCTGGGTGTGGAGCCTACTTAAAAAGAAAGTCTCTTAAAAATAGCTTTATAGAGATAAATAATTCACATACCATATAATTCGCATATTTAAAGTATATAACTCATTGAATTTTAGTATACTCATGGAGTTGTGCAGCCATCAGCACAATCAATTTTAGGACATCTTCAACCCCCAAAAGAAACTCCATGCTCATTAGCAGTCACTCTCCATCTTATGCAACAGCTTGGTAACATACTTCTCTAATTTTTCTGTAAAGTGCTCCAGGAATGTAAACCATCAGTAAGTTACCCAATATTTATTGAATCCACTCTAAGTGAGATACTCTTTCCAGGCTGTAGTGATAGGGAGACAACCAAGAGAGAGAAGCAAGCAGTCCCAGCTCTCAGGGACCTTATGTTCTTTACTGAAGTCTGCAGATGGGCCCAAACCAAAAACAAAGCAGAACAAAACCCATGTTAGTAACAGAAGAGAGAAGGAAGACATATGTATTCTATTCCTACTACGTGCCATGCTCTCTACTGGGCCATTCTCCTAGGACATGGTGAACAGGCATCTGTCTAACTTCAAAGCCTGTATTCTTTAAAGAAGAGCGTGACAGATAAAATACTCAGTTGAAAAAGACTACTCTGTTTCACTTTGCCCAGCTGTGCAAATCCCTGGATTTGCTGACTCCCAAGCCAGCTGCCTCCTAAACATTACTTCCTGTTGTTTTGAACAAAAATATAAAGTAAACAGCCCCCAAGACCTTTGGTCATCAGTCGCCAATGTAAAGACTTTTCTGCCCTGGATACAGTCAGCTCAACCAATGGCATCTTTGTTAGTGGAATTATGGGGGGTGGGTGTGCGGGGAGGACAGTCAAAGGGTAATTAAAGTGACTTACATTTCTCTTTTTCCCTGCCATAATCCCGAGGATTTGAATTCTCCAACAAATCAAATTCAGTTTGAGTTTTAACCTTCTTACATGAAAAGCCAGGTTTAAAAATAGCTGTTCATGCTCCAATGATTGTAAACAAACACTGGAGTATAGAGTCGACTGAAGGGCAACAGACATTACATATCCCTGTAGGAATGTGGAATTTAATATAAACGGAGTAACTTTCATACATATGTGCTGTGTCTTCGCTCTGCATTGCCAGCAGAGTTCTTTGGGGGAAAGAATCATCATAAAATGTGAAAGCTGAAAGGGCCTCAGAAATCCTGTAGACTCACAGCTTCATTTTAGAAATGGGGTAACTGAGACCAGGAGGAGGCCGTGGCTGCATCTCTAGTTAGTGGCAGAGATGGGGGAAAATCTAGTTCTCCAGGATTGCCAGTGATATTAGCAAGAGATGGAAAGATACACTGACATGCCTGGGAGCTTATTTCCTGATTAATTGCGATGCCACATAGGGTCGTGGGATTGAGGGACCTGAACTCAAATCTCAGGTCTGCCATTTACCATATGGTGAGTTTGAACAAACTGATGAACTTCTCTAAGCTTTACTTTACTTTTCTGCCTCCCCCCTCCAAAGCACAGTATTTTGTGTATCAAGTTGCTGGAAGGGCTAACTAGGATGTATCAGTAAATCTTTTAGCATCATATTTGATGTTCAACAAATGTCTGCTTCCTTCCCTTCCTGCTCCCCCTTTTCTCTTCATCCAGGATGTTTTACACATCTTTTCATGTGTCTTTGCATCACGAAGTAGATTCATTGCTACTTTCTGAGAATAGTAATGTCTCCTACAATGTGGACCACGAGTCATCTTAAATCATAACTGTACTTGCTCCCATTGGTTGGATATCTACTGTATTCCAGGCACTTTCTATATGATTTCCGACCTTCATGACATCATTGAAGACTCATTATTTTTCCACCTTATTGATAATTAACATGATGTTTGGAGAGGATAACTAGTAAACTCAAGATCTCGGTAGCTTGAAGTCAGGTCCTCCAAGCCCATGCTCCTCTGTACTGATGCGGTCACACTAAGGCCATGATCACAAACTTGTGTACTTTTTTAATGGTCACCATAAAATCCTGGGGAAAGTTTAACAGTAGAAAAAAGTATCAGTTTTGGAATCTGAGTGCAAGATTCGAACCCTAGCTCTGCCATATATGAGCTATATGGCGCTGGGCATGTTCCTTAAATTCCCTTTGCTCTGTATTCCTTACTTGTAGTGGACTGATAACGATTATGTCAACAGAAAAGACGGAAAAAAAAAAAACCTGTAGGGATGATTGAATGAAAGATGATGTGTGCAGCATTCTTAGCCCAGGGTTGGATGTAAATGTCACTCATTTACACCTTCACTTTGCCCTCTGTGTACTTGGCCTATGGAGATTAGATCATTGTTCTTACAAGGATCGCGTCGAAGAGAAGCACTTTAAATTCTCTCTTGCATTATCAGTCTTGATTTGACCACCAACCGCTCCTGTTATAAATATAGCTAAGATGTTGCCATTGGGGAAGGTAACTTTGAGGGATTGATTCACGCTCCTCTTCTCAAGATCTTCTAGGCAAAAAAAAATCTTTTTAAAAATCCAGGTCACCTAAGAAAAAAAAACCAAACCACAAAAAACCAGGTTACCTGCTTCATGTCCATCAGACCCCTGGTGGATTGATTTGATGGAGCAAGAGGGGAGATACAGTGTGGACATTTGGGGAATGCCCCTTAATGGAGTAGGGTGGAGGACATTGTTTGCTTTGTTACCCCAAACCTTTTCAATGAAGACCACCTCCAATGCTAAATTAATCTCAGAGTTGAGGGCTATAAAATAACAGAGGAGAGATTGTTCCACTCAATGACTCATATGGGTATTCATCTGTATAATGAGTCAGATGACTCACCATTTTTTTCTTCGTTTTCCCTGGCTTCTAGAGATAGTGGAACTCTTAAGTATTGCACATAGCTATTGTGTCTTCCTTAACTGACTCTCTGGATACAGTTTTTCCTCTTCGCTTCGTGTGTGTGTGTGTGTGTGTGTGTGTGTGTGGCCTTATTTGAAAGTTTTCAGCCTGACTGTCTTTATTGTAAGCTGCCTCAAATAAATATGGAATAGATAGAAAGACTGGGATACCAAATTTGAGGAGAGAAAGGGTAAAAATATGAAGATAGAAAAAATAACTATCATGAAAGTAGCACTGATACAATTAAAATAAAAAGTAAATATTGTCACATATTTTTCTGTAAGTGCTCATTAAGGGAAAAGTATTATAATTATTAGGCCTACTATTACTAATAGTAACATATGCATAGACTCTGCCCTGCTAACTTACTTGATATGAAACTTGTCCATAAACTATTAGCCCCTTGCTTTTCTGTTCTCTAGCATCTCTGAGGGGTGGAAACAGGAAAGAGAGCTGGGACCCAGGTGAGCCCTCTGAGGTCAGAGATGGGGCTTCCTCCGGTTGTTCTTAGGACTTTACACCTAGGCGGCCATGCCTGACACATGGTGGAGGCTCAAAAAATATTTGTTGAATGAATGAATATAACAGTGGCTTACCTTGTGTGATCATTATATAGCAGACCTTGTCTGGATAGATTTACGTTGATTCATGTATTTAACCTTCACAATAATCTTATGAATACAGAATTCATATTAATTAGTGTATTCATGACTACCTTTTACAGATGAAGAAACTGAAGCACAGAGAGGCTAAGTAACTTGATGCTAATATGCAGAGTCCACACACTCAGCCCAAGGCAGAATGAAGGAACAAAGGAATAAGTGAATGAAGACGTAAAGAATTTATTTCCACTGTGACAGCAGGTGTAAGTTGGTTGAAAATATGAAGCAGTCTTGATTAGCTGGACCGATACGTGTTATAAAGAGTTACTTAACATATGTGGTCCTCAGCGGAGAGCATGGGGATCCAGTGATGGGAATTCCTGGAAGCAGAGGTGTTCCTGAGGGTGCCAGAAAAACTGATGTGTCAAATTTCATTCAACATCTTCTTCCTCAGCCTGGATTTTTATGGATCTGCTCTACATGCAACAATTTTTACATAGAGGTTTCTTCAGTGTAATAGCTACTGATAGGCTTTTCAACTCCATTCTTTAATTATATTGTCCACTGTACCATCTCTGGGAAACTAGGGAATTTTGGAGAAAGCTGAAATTCATTTCAAAAGTTATGAATCTTGTATAATTCATTTATTCAGGGGCCCATAAAAAGCATTAAAATTTAAGAGACTGATATAAAAATGAGTGTAATTGCACCTGGTTTGAGATTCCTTTCCATTCTGTGACTCCATTTTAATTTTACTACCACTTAACTTTGCAGTGTTTAATTGGAGTGCTGAAGACTGATCGCTGCAGCACGTGGGTACAATGAAACGGCCCCCTTTACAAATACCACGTGGCCTCCATGGCCTCTGTTTTGGTATACAGGGACCCAAGTGTCGTTTAGAGAAGGAAGGGTAGTTCAGAATCTTGCAGTCTTCATGGTGGTTTGGGGGACATTGTTTGTGGTGAACAAATGGAATTCTTCGCAGCCCTGCAAGTGCTCACATCTCAGTCCTCTTGCTTTGGTGCCCTGTGTCGTCAGTAACCCAATAGAACATATTGTGTAGAAACATTTCCTACTCTCGGATCCCCAAACCATCTGGCAAATCTTTTGTCTCTCGCTTTTACAAATGGCAGGCTGGCTCATGAGTAAATTGTCATGAGAGAAAGCAGCTGACAGCAAACACAGAATGCTCCTAGATCATTTGCTCTGGTAAGCGAGAGAACACATGTGAGCCCAGCAGAGAGCATGGAGTGGTATTCACAGTGGCATGCATGGTGAGGCCCCTTTAAATCTTCGTCATATTAAGCGCAAAGATGAACAGTTTCTTGATGAACCGTGCAGACCTTCAGCTGTAACAATACATGTTCAAAGTTCCGCGACAATTTCGATTTGTAGCAAGATGACAGGGCTAAATCCTCAGCTCCATTGACCTTTAATTTATAAGGAGTACAGGTGCTATTTTCCCCTAGCCATGTCTTTACGACACTAGAAAAAAAGAGTCACATAGGAAAGCAGAGGATTTCCTAAACATCAAGTCATGAAATTGAATTTCTTCACAACTTATTTCCTTAAAGCAAGCCTGGATTCCTTCGGGTACCTAACCTGTTTGCAGGGAGGTGAGATCCTTTGTCACTTTCCAGGAAAAGACACTGCCATGGGGTGCAAATGGGGTGCTCAAAGAAGGTGAGCCTGGTGGTGCAACCCCCTCCCCCCCCCCCCGCCGGCAGTTTGTTCACACTGCAGTTCCTTCCCTGGTGACAATTGAAGGCCACTGCAATCACCATTAGGCAGAAATAAAGCTTCCCTGGCTTAGTCTGTTATTAACCAATGAAGGTCCTGAACAGAAATGTCTGGCAAATTACGTGGGGTCCAGACTCTGGAGTCAGAAACAAGTAGGTCTGAATTTTGAGATTCTTTGATTATTAGTGTGGTCCTGGAGCAAGTGTGTCAGCACATCTCAGCATCCGTTCACATTGACCTAAATTGCAGATGATGTTTCCTGTGCTACATGGTTGGAGTGACATTAAATGATTTAGCTCACGTGTAGGAGATCCTGTTTGGTATCCTGCAGAGCTCCACTTTATGCTGTTGGCGGGTTCCCATCCTTCAGCTCTTGTGACTTTTGGCTGCTAAAGCTTTGTTACTGCATCCCTTTGTGCTCTGCTGATGGGAACTGCCCTGTCTGGAAATTTCTGGGATGCTATTCTCTCTTCCTGGGTTTGGAGAAGGTGAGCAGTAGCCTGCAGCTAATGACTAACTGATTTGGGTGTTCAGAACACTTCTTGCTCTCAGGTGGGAGAACGCTCTTATGTCCTTCATACTTCAGACTACTCCATAGGATCAGGCAGAGGCTGTACCTTCACCAAAAACACATCTTTACCTGACTTTTCCCTCTGTATCTCCTGAAAGAACTCCTCCAATAAATTATCACCTTAAAAATATTCATCTCAGGCTCTCTCCTAGGGAAACTGACAGAGATAGCTTGTTAGGTATCTGCAGCAAAGGTCGTTACTTCGTACTCTTTTGTCCTATCCCTTTCTCCCAGCAACTGCTTCTGAGAACTAGATTTGTTTTGACTGGGAAAATTATGATTAAATAATAGAAAGTTAAAAAAATCCCAAGTAAATAAAACTTACTTTAGGAGTGCTTGGGTGGCTCAGTCCATTAAGCATCTGACTTTGGCTCAAGTCATGATCTTAGGGTCCTGCGATCAAGCCCCACATCAGGCTCCATGCTCAGTGGGGAGTCTGCTTCTCCCTCTCTCTCTGCCCTTCACCTCTGCTCATGCTCTCTCTCTTTCTCAAATAGATGAAACCTTTAAAAGATGTACTTTAAGAACATAAAAAGGGAACAAATTCTGTCAAGTTATCTACCCTACAAATAATAAAAGATTTGTGTCCAATACAAAGAACCAAGAAAAAGGAAGATCAATAAAAGAGCACTGGAGAATATGGTCCATTGATTTGCAGAAGAGGAAACTGGGCTAGCCAGTGTAGACATGAAAAAATTAATCTCAGTAGGGAAAAATGAGATTGTGAACCCATTCCATAGGCAAAATTAAAATGCTGATAATATTAGTATTGACAAACATGTGAAGCAAACATAAACTCAGAGTCGCTGGTGAGAATGTTCACTAGCATTACCATTTTGAATTATGTTTTCTCAGTATCTTGTAACTTTGAGGATACGCACATTTTGTAAATCATCAATTACACTTTTAAGAATTTACCATCGGTAACTGTCACACAAGAATGTTCCTGGCAACATTATTTGTTAAAGCAGAAGACAACAAACTAACAAAACTTGGAAACAACCTTAATATTCATTATCAGGAGAATGAATAAAGCATTTGTAGCATATTTATGGGATGAATACCAGGAAGCTCTAAAAATGAATGAACTAGAATGACATATATCAATATGGAAACCTGGGAATATGATGTTTAATGAGAGAACACAAATTGCAGAAGGATATGATCAGTATGATGCCATTAATTATTTTTTAACTGGAAAAAGTTCTATACATTTTATTTCTGAATATGTACAACTGTCATAAAAGTATACAAACACAGACTTGAAGATAGACACTAACCTTACAAGATACTAACCTGGAAAGAGGAGGACTCATCAGCTCGGAGTTGGGAGAGACACGGGTTTCAACAGTGTGTGTCCTGTTTTGGTTCTTTATATTACAATTCTGAAGCAAATATAGAAAATGTTCAATTATATACTATGTCTGGGCTATAAGATTCCCAAGTGTTTTCTTTATGCTTTTTCTCTCTGTTTGAAATATTTTAGTAAAAAACAGAATGCAGTTTCTTTGGTCTGTTTGAGAATTGTAGACTTATAATAATGCAGTGATACTTGAATGAGTTTGCTCCCACCATACCCCTAACTTCGGGTTTGGCTCCCCTAAATCCCCATACCTCTCCATAATCTCTTCAAATCTTATGAACCCTTGCCGAGGGCCTGCCTCTTCCATGCAACATTCTGGATGACCACAGATAGCTTTAACACATCCGTTTATGAAAGCCACAGTATCCCTGCTTGACCAGTGATATGACTTTGATAAATTGTATGTTTGCTCGTGCATTGTCCTCTTTAGTGCTTCAGGTGCTTAAATATTGTCTGATGCAAGCCTGAAGAAATCTGTACTTTTTCCTATGCTTCTCATTAAATGATCTCATAAATACCTCCCTATATTTATCATAAATTACGTCTGGCACAAATTTTGCTCAAGAAATTAATTTTAGTAATTATCATTAGTTAATTCAGCATTTTTGAGTGTCGTTTATGTGCTAGTCATTGCAAATATACAAAGAAAAGGATGTAGGGTTCTTCTAAGATCTCACAACATGGCTGAGTTAAATTGTAGCATATTTGTGTATTTCTTTTTATATTCATTCAGCTGTGCAACCAGCAAATAATTATTCAACACCAACTCCAGACCAGTAACTCTGTTTGAAACCAGGAGTAGAATAAAAAACAAGGCAAGCATATTTCTCCCCATATCTATGATTGATCCTGCCTTGAACTAAAAATAGAGACCCAGGTTTGATAAAAGGCTTCTAGGCTAAGTCTGGTACAAAAGGCCATTTGGGATTTTAGCTTGTAAACTGAATTAATGTAATTTTCAGAACATGTGAATGACATAAAGGATTGCCATGTGTCATGAGACAACCCCAGAAAATCTGAGAAATGCAGTTGTAGTAATCATATATATTAGCTGGATCTAATTTCTTCTGTTTGCTTACTGTTGAGCATTTGTTTTCAGTGACTCTATTATTTAGTAACACCATTGAATAATCGTTGTTGATGAATTTTCCATTAAAGACATTTTTTTTAGTTATGACCCCTGAAACTACAGCATTAATGAATTCTTGCCTTTTTAAATAACCTCCAGACATCTACAAGAGACCCTTCCAAGAAGCACGAGGACAACTGGACAAGGAGGGAAGTGAGTGTCAGAGTGTTGATGACTCAGACAAGGTCATACAGAGGAGCCGGGAGGAGAAGCAGGAACTTCTGACTCTTAGACAAGAACTCTTTACTCCTGATGCTCTTAATCTCCACTTATCAGAAATCCCAGAGAATAGGGGGTCTAGAGCAGGAATTCTCAACCTCAGCACTTTTGACATTTTGGCCCAAATAGTTCTTTGTTGCGGAGGGAGGGACTATTTTGCGCATTTGGCAGGTTTAGCAGCAGCCCTGGCCTTTACCCAGTAGATGCCGGACATCCCCCCTTCTCCATGTCATTACAACCAAAATGTCTCCAGACACAGCCAACTATGTCTATTGTGCCTGGAGGGCAAGATCACCTCTTGGTTGTGAACCATTGCCTTAGAGCATTCCTAAACAGCATTTTCGTTTATTTATTTATTTATTTTTTGAAATGCCCAAGCAAAGTATGGAGTGCTCACCAAACCTTGAGCATGGAGAAAGATTGCACATCCCAACCTTGTTGAAGTGGATTAGGATCGTGTGGCAGATTCAGATGAGAGGTGATGTCCACCACTTCCAGCCTAGTCACTAACCCCCTGAGTGATTCTATTTTGCTCTCTTTCCACTCAGCAGCAGGCTTGGGGTGCATGTTTTAAAGATCGAGACACCAAGAGGAGGGAGAGTCTTAGGTTCCTGGAGCTCTGGAGGT